CAAGCAAAGTCAACAGAGAACCCAGATTCATTTTACAACCATGTTACTAATTTAACAACTGCAGTGATTCACTTAACAAATGTGACAAGAATAGTCCTAAAATGGGACAAAACTGACTTAACACATTTTTTGCTTAATTAGGTAAATGTTGGGCTCAATTGTGCTCATAAATTGAGGACTACTTGTATTCCAAATCTAATCTGGACTTGACCCATGATGTCCCGGGAGATGGGATACCTCCATTCTTTTTCAATTTCACTTACCCAGGTAGAGGCGACCGCGACTGCGGCACCGACGCGGGCTGACGTTGAAGTCGACATGGAAGAGCAGGAGCGGGTGGCCGAAGTTGGCGCCGGGATTGGGGTCCAAAACCAGGACGGCGTCTTGGCCGGCAGGTGCGAAGGCTGCTCGCTGAGGGCCGCCGCCGCCGCCGCCGCCGCTCTGGTTCCGGCTGGGGACGAGGGGCGCGCCAGGTTTGTCTCCCCAGCCGTCGGGCAGGAGCGCCCGCACTTTCTGACCCGGCCGGGCAGGTTCGGAGATATAGACTGCAGGGCCTGGCCCTTGCGAGAGCCGCACCAAACGCTGACATTGAGGCCGCGGCAAGAGCCCGCCGCGTTCGGGGCACTGAGTCGCCGCCACGTGCCTGAGCGCCGCCGCCGCCCAGCGCGCCACCCGCGCCTCGGAGAAGCGGCTCTCCGACGGGGCGGCAGGGCAGGGCCAGGCCAGGGCGGCGGCAGCCAAGGTCAACAGCAGCGGGGCCATGGGGGAACCGGATCCCTGGCGGAGCCCCGGCGGACTGTGCCTGGCCAGCGGGACTCTTTCGATTCCCCGCCCTGCCCCGGAGAAGGAGAAGAGGCGGACGGGAGCGCTCGTGGCGAGGCTTCTCTCAATTGTTGGCTCTTAGGCTGCCCCCTTCGCGAGGAGCTACCCGCCCCCGTCTCCTCGGGCCGTCTCTTGGACCACGTGTGTGGCTTCTTACTCACTGGAGCTCCACGCAGTTTTTGCTCCCCGCAGGCCAACTGAGAGGATCCAGGGCAGCCCGGTCCCTCTCCAGAGAGCGCAAGGCGCCGCGGGTCAACTGGGAGAGGAAAGCGAAGGCAGCGGCGGCGGCTTGGCGGACGACTGAACTCCTTGCTCGGGAGAGCCAAAGTGGAACCCTACCCAGATCAAACACTTAAGACGGCCTTCCAATCATGCGCAGACCTGCTTTTTTCATCCCCGCGCTGCCCCCCTGTAGGGCGCACAGACGGGTCGACAAACAATATTCGCCGGAAAAGCATCTAAGGCCGCCAAGTGTCCGTCTCAGCTCTCGGGTCCTTTATGGCTCTTGTCAGATGATCAGTGGGTTGAATTCGACGAGTTTATATCGGAGTAGATTGGCCAAAAGAGAGTTACGACCTTGCGTTCCTGTCAGTTGACAGGTTAACCCCCATTTGCCTCCTAGCGTGGGTTTAATGCTTCCTTGCAAGCAATGCATTCCAGATCGTGGAAATCGTTTGAGGGACCCATAACTTTAGAGGAGGGTAAAATCTCCTTTCTTCCCTCGTAGCCTGCCTCAGGATCAAACACCTTGGACGCCGCCTAAACTTCCCTTGGTCATAAGATGCGAGACATCTCTTTCTCCCAGCCCGTTTTTACAGTTTACCTTCGAATGACAGAAAACATTTTTTTCCTCCTCGATCAGTCATAAGTGCCCCCCCCCACTGCTCCCAAGAAAGAACTTTTTAAGCTAGACAGATCTGAGAGAAAACTTAGGAGCCTATCCCTTGTCATCTTGATAAGATGTCACATCAACATAGCCAGTGTTCAGAACACTATTTCTTGCTTCACTGAATTTTTTTTTTTTTAATCCTTGGAGGTTTTAGCGTCATTTGGCGCAATTGTAAACCACTCCCCCCCCAACCCTTGAGTGCGGGAAGCAATAAGATGGGTCAATGCAGAAATCAATAAGCAGATGTGCTGGAAAATCCACCTGGGAAGGGAGTGGCATAAGATTACACCAGCGGGAGCCCGTGCTGTGGGTTTGTTTTCCCAAGGAAAGGGGAAGTCCCGTCTAATGATTACTGTTATTCAGTTACTGTAAGTTGAAGAACCCTACTGAAGAATTGTTACGAGAACTGCAGTCGGGAAAGATTTCTGGTTCCTTTGAGAACTACAGTTGTGTGCACAGCAGTGTCTTTCTTGGGAAGAAGAGGGGTGGGTGTGAATGCCTCCTGAGGTCTCAGGCTTTTGCTACAGAAAATTAAATTACAAAGCACCAAAAGCGCCCTCATCAAGTGAGAGAGGTAAGGCTGTTGTGCCCCCCCTCCAAAGATAACTCTTCAGTGCATTTGGGGGGGGGGGGACTTCTTCCGCATCTTCTGATTCTTGTGTTCTTGCAGTTTCAGCCTACCTGCTGGGAGAGGATCGAACCTAATAAAGTCTTCACCTTTCCAGAGCATTCCTTCCAGATGTGTTTTGCACACCAGCCATCCTAATCTCCAAAAGAGATTATTTTGGAAACAGAAACCATGCACTCCTGCTAGGCAATTTCAAAGAACCGCATGGGCACGTCCATGCAGCCATTTTTGCAATAGTGCAAAACTGGTTTGCCATGGCTGACTTCCAGAATTTGTTTCTTTTCAATCTAGCCATTAACTGTGGGTTCTCTTAGTAGTCTTTCATTAAGTATTAAACAAGTTTTGTAAGATCAACTGAGACAGGTTGAGGCTGGGTGTTTCTTTTTTGCCTGCCACTAATGTTAGATCTGAAATGTTTGAAATGCCCTCTCCATATACAATTGATTAGCATGGTTGGTATGATTAAAAAGTGTGGGGACAGCTTAGCAGAGGTTACTACTAATTGTCAATCAATAATCACAGCCCTAACCCATATGGGGAAGGAGTCGTGTGTGTGAAACAGATGAAATAATGACATAATCAAGTGGTGTGCAAAACTTTTAGTGACCTATAAAGGAACAAACACACTGGCTGGATGCAGCCACTTCGCTTACTGAAATTGTAAATAATGGTAGATTGAATAAAGCCCCCCCCCCCAAAAAAAAAGAGGAGAGGGGGAGAGGAAAGGGAATGGGAAAAAGAAAGGCATGGAATGAGCTTGTCCATACTATTCCTTTCAGGTGACAGCTCTGGCACAGAAAGTGAGATGGGTAGTGGCCGTACTACAGCACCTACACCATCATCCCTGGTTGGCCTACTGATGCACTCGGTGCCATGCAAATAGTGCATTGCCCAGCCAGTCAGCAAGGCAGGACGATGCCTGTAGAGGGGACTGTGGAAATTGGACCAGGCAGCATTCATCTTGAGTGCAGCGGCTCTGACATGAGGGATAGATGGGCGGTAGGGAGATTTCTTCAAAGGCAATCAAAAGGCTGGCTAGTGTTTCATTACCAGGTTCCAGATTGAGAGCAATGGAAATGGAAACCCCACAGAGCCTCTGAGGTCAGTTTCAAAGTGTCTTAAACCATTGCTGTGAAGAGTTAGGCTCTAAGAAATGATTTTGTCCTTTCACAACTAAGGCTCTGTCTGCTACCTCTCCTTTAATGATTAACATCCTTGGTGTTCCAAGAGAGATCAAGGACCAAAAATTATCTTCAGGTTTTGCAATGGACGTACTCTATATGTCAGTAATTAGGATTTATTTGTATTATTAGCTTTCATTGCCACCTTGGCACAGTTTATCCACCAATACCTTTTGCACCACAATCAATTAAGTCAGCTTCTTTTGGCTGTCTCATGCTCTTCTTCTCAAATGGGCTAGAGTTAAGAATTGACAATTACCTCTGAAAATGAATTGCTGTAATCACAAAGAAGATATTGCACTAATTGATTATCTCCAGGGCAGGCACAAGCTTCTTGACATGAGATTTTAACACTAATGGTGAGCAACCCCCCCCCCCAAAAAAAAAGAACAAGAACCCAAAGTGGTAATACAATCAAACTGTGTAACACACTAACAGATAAATGCAGAATTAGTCCTTATTCCATATCTCAAAGATCCAATTTAGTACGAGACCAACATTGTTAACATGCTGCAATGTTAACAATAAAGATCTAAATTTGGACATCTGCCATTCAAATAAACCCACCATATATGACCCAGTTCATTAGACAGATAGATACACATAGCTACTTTTAATTCCTAACCAAAGCATAGGCATGAAAGAAATGGCTATATAAAGTTTTCAAATACTAGGCACACATGGCTTAGATTGAAATTTGGGACCCAGAAGCTAAATGCAGTTCACAAGCTCTTCAGCTTGCTTGGAAAGCAAGCAAGCTTGTGTAGAACACACAAATGTGTGTTCTAGATACACACATTTGAATACTTTTTATTTGGCCTGGGCTGTACTCCGCTGGGATAGAGCATGTTAGTATACCATTTTAGTCAAGGCCATTTCTCTATTTTTGATTCAAACATCCGCAGCCATTTTGTAATCAACAGCTGGTCAGGAAACAGGAATAAAATACCTTATCCAGACGACCTGGAAATGTTTTCATAAAGCATACATTATAAATAAGTAAACAAGCCATTCAAAAATATTTAAGTAAAGATTCATTTGATTTGGACTTTTAAAAGTACAATTTGAAACTCTGTTTAAAATGGCCCAATGTCTACAACATAAATAAGATCTTGCCCATACCCATGCATATTTATTGAAAAGTAAACGCCGCGTTGCACAATACAAGCTTTCCAAATCAGTGTACACAAAGGTGAAGCTTTCTTCTTTCAAGAAATCTAACTTCACATCTCTCTCTGTGCATGTACACACAGAGGGAGAAATTTGATTCTTGCTCCATTTTGCAATTGCAAAGGTAGACTGATTCCATGATAAAAAAGTCCTTATAGGTTTTTATAGGTTGCACAAAGGCCTCTTTTACTTGCAAACTAAAATATTGTATTTATTCTAGTGCATAATTTGTAGGCATGCTTATAAAGGAGATGTATGACTTTCAAATCAGGAAGCCAGATCAGATAATTTCTTGATAACTTAAATTAGCCTTGCATTAAGTAACTCTGGAAATATGCTGCATTTAAGAACCCTTTCTACCCTAGTATCTGGGCTAGAATAGTTTCGTCAGTGAAACAAATGCCGTCAATTTTATCTAGTAAGGAGCTGTTCTACCAAATATTGCAGTTCATTAATTCCCAGTACAGGCAGTTTCAGAACAAATCAAAATAATTATTTCCTGATATTCCTAAAGATATGTACTTGAAGGAACATTTGCTGTATCCACTGCACAAATACTACCAATGGATTTAAAGAATTCCTTGTAGTCCCAAATTGCTGCAGAGAACGGAATGGCATTCAGAACAGAACTGGGAACATACAGAAGAAGGGGAGGGGGGAAGAAGCCTAAATCCCATTGCAAAGGCAGAAAACAACCCAATGAAAGCAAAGGATGAGCTCTTTCTGTCTGTCAATTTATTGGTTCCCGCCAGTTTTGAATAATCTTCCCTATTTTGACCCTGTAAGCGAGGCAGCAAAGGCACAGAATGTTGGATAATGCCTGGGACCTGCCGAGAGAGGGAGGGAGCCAAGTGACAGCTGGCAGGTGGTGGTCCCAACCAAACATGCATCGAATAGAAAACAATTACCAACAAGTCCACTGAAGAATGGGAGTCACCTAGGGCCATTCAGCTCTGTTTCATACAATCTAAAGCAACTGGCTATGTACTGGAAGTTGGTTACTCATTTCTTCAAGGCTGATCTTTGGCTGCTTTTCTCAGAGGGTGATGAGTGTCAGAGAACGGGGCAATGAGCTGGCAGTAACATTCAAGACACTCAATGTGAGAAGATTCAGTTGTCAGCTCCCAGCAAGTAAAGGATTACATTGATCAGACCCTGGAGGCAGTTCCTTTCCTTGCTTTGGTGATGTAATCTTAGGAATCCCAACTAGCAGTTAAGATGTTTATTTGATATAGAAACTTCAAAAGAGTGGCTATAGGGAGATATCTTCCCCTTATTTTTCAAGAAGCAGCAGAGCAGGAGGAGGTAGCGAAAATCCCTCCTATGAAAGCATTTAGCACCACCTACTGTCCAAATGTGCTAGAGACAAAAACAGATTGGAGGACGACAGTAAGTTAAGTTCTTCATTCTCTGCTGTGAAATATTCCCAGCGCAGCACATCATTGGAAGCCAATTAAAAAATGACAAGGATTGGGGACCTTACAGCAATAATCACTGGTGCCTTGTCCAATGGGAGAAATGGTGCCAGCTGTCTCAGAAGGCACAGACACAGTCCTAGTGCAAGTGGCAGCAGTCGGGTGCAAAGAGGGTCTTTGCAAGATCTGGGCAGGGATTCAGTCTTTGGTTCATTGCTAGTACTTCTGAGAGTGCCCCAGTGGTAAACCAGGAAGCATAAAGGAAGCCCCAGAATGGTCACAGATGATTTCCAGGTCGAATGATTCTGGTGATGCTCAGGATAAGCAGCAATTGGATGGCTTTGTGCTTCGAGCCTAGGACACAAAGATACAGGTAGATGAGAACAGCGGTGAGGGATAAACATCCTTTTCTTCCCTCCCGTCCCCTCTTCACAATATTGTTCATCATTTATTACAGCAAGGGGACTCTCAGTCATCCACCTCATGGTTGTCTCAAAGTTGCTTTTTCAAGAGGCAACTGGACTTTCTGGTTTTTCTTTGAAGACGTTTTGCTTCTCATCCAAGAACCTTCTTCAGCTCTGAAGCTTCTTTAGCTCCCCACCATTCAGAGCTGAAGAAGCTTCTTGGGGGAGAAGTAAAACGTCTTAAAAGAAAAACCAGAAAGTCCAGCTGCCTCTTGAAAACAGCACCTTTGGGACTATAGCAAGGAAGAAAAAAAAATCTATAGCACATGTACACCCCTCACTTTTCCTAGGCTACTACTAGCCAATCCCCAAAGCCTGCGGCCACCCCACTCATGAATTGCTGCCAGCCGTTGCAATGCTTTTTCTTCTTATTGTGAAAGTGTATTGCAGATCCTTGTTGAAGTCTTACAGGAATGTGCTCATTAAAAACCCCTCTCATACAGTTTGTATCTGTAAAGACTCTACCAGAATAGAATAGCTTGTTTGAGGCATCATACTGATGATTTTTTTAAAGATTCTTTCACTTTCTTTATATATCAAAAGAGGGTCATACAATTTCAAAATATTTATACGTTTTTTGTAGCTGTTTGGGACTATAAATTTTAAGAAGTTAATCCTATTTAATCAGTTTTTATAGCTCAAAAGTAAACACAACAAAGTTCTAGTACTTGAGACTTTAGTACCTGCTTCTTGTGTTCACCTGTAGCTTTTTTTGGGGGGGGGGAATGTGTTTATTGCACAGACTAGTAAAGACAATTACAAATTAATTACTACCAAATCCGCCAAGGAAAAACGTCTAACAAGAACTAGAATTTCCAACCTCCAAGGTTCTGTTCAGAAACAGCTACAGATCGTCCTCGACTTATGACTGTAATGGAGCCTGGAATTCGTCATGTCTTTGTTATGCCATGACAGACATAAGTTGAGACACCCACGCAACTGACTTGATTTTACAACCATTTGTACAACTCTTGTTAAGCGAACTCTGAAGTTGTTAAGTGTATGCATTCCTAGGGGTGTTTTTTCCATAGAAATTGGTTTCTGCCAAAAAACATCATAAATCATGTCACATGACCATGGAAAGCTGCAACCGGCTTGTCATATGAATACAGGGCACTGTATTTTTCGGAGCATAAGACGCACCTTTTCCCTTCAAAAAAGAGGCTGAAAATCTGGGTGTATCTTATACACTGAATACAGCACTTTTGGCCTCCCAAAACCCCACCCACTTCATCAAAATGGCTGTGCGCAGCCTTTAGGAGGCTTCCTGAGTGCTCCTGTGGGCTGGAGTGGGCAAAAATGAGCACAAAATGGTCGTTTTCTGCCCCCACCCCCCCCAACAGCACTCTATAAGCTTCCTAAAGGCTATGCATGCCCCTTTTTTGACAAAAAAGGGCAATTTTTGCAAAAAACAGGCCATTTTGTGCTTGTTTTTGCCCCCTCAATCCCTAGCAGCACTCTATAAGCCTCCTAAAGGCTATTCATGCCCTTTTTTTGACAAAAAAGGGCCTGCTTTTGACGGGCCATTTTTCGGAGATCTGCAGAGTGCAATTTTTTTTTTTAAATTGCCTCTTCAAAATCTTGGTGTCTTATACTCCAGTGCGTCTTATATTCAGAAAAATATGGTATGTGTCTGTATGTTGCTGTTACAAATATGGACATAAGTACCCGTGTGTTTGTGTGTGTGTGTGTGTGTCCGTGTCCATTGTAACTTTGACTGGTTACTAAGTGATTAGACATTAAGCAAGGACTACCTTTACAGACTGGCCAAAAGACCAGTTTTTCCAGTTTGAATTCCAATAATTGGATTAGTACTTCCCTTGCTGGGATGTAACACAATACGATATTTGAAAGCTGAATTACGTCAAGCTATGAAGACACTGAATTGTCAAAAATTGCTCATCTCTTTTACTTGTTGCCGTTGTTGCTGTTGTTGATATTCTTCCTCACTAGCTGAAAGTGCTCGAGCCAGTGCCAGGTCTTCCTCCTCTTGGGTGCTGTTAGAACAAGGTCAAAAATTATTATTTTCCCCTTACTGACATAGTCATCCCACCGTTGGCAAATTGGGTGATCTTTAAATGGAGAGTCTTTGTTTATGTTTATTGTTCAGAAGGCCTGATTAGGACCGAGTGCTATGAATGCTCACCTTCAACCCCAAGGGTTAGATACAGAGAGCTGGGCTTGATCTCAATAGATCTGCACTGGATCAGAGGCAATCTGCTGCTGCACAATTTGAGCACAGCTGTCTTTGAAGTCCCCTCCCCCGTCTCACACCCCAGTGTAACTTCTCAGTAAGTAGCCTGGCATAGTAGTACAATAAAAAGAGAATATTTGTAGTTCAAGGTTGAAATGAGGGGTCCTTGGTGTTCTCTGAGCTTGATTGTTTTGTTGCAGATTTTTCATTACCCAAACTATGTAAAATGATCAGTGCTAGTCAGACTAGCACTAATCATGTTACCTAGTTTGGATAATGAAAAATCTGCAATAAAAAAACAAGCTCGGAGAGGACCTTTCATGGTAAGTATAACTCTGTTCATTTCTACTGGCTATCAGTACCTGCAGCGCTGTGGTTGGATGGCCGCTGTTTCTGCCAGAGACATCTCCAAGGCTCGCTGTAAGGCTTCCTCTTCACTCTGAAATGAAACACAAAAGCAGAACCAGCCTTACTTGAGGGAAACCAAAAACCCTCAACACTTGTACATGTCTGGGCACATTTCAAGGATCTGGGACCTGAATTGTGCCATTGTTCTATTTTTCCCTCATGTACAATAAATTTTGTAGGCATGAAACAGATCAAAATATCAAAATATCAGACAATATCTTCAAGCTACCAGATCAAGGAGTTTCTACAGAATCCATACCAGCTATGAGGCATGACAAAAAATAATTTTGGACTTCCCTCCTCTCCATTGACTCTCAACTTCCTAATCCCAATTTCCCCATTCTTTGAAACAATAGTGGTAAATAGCTGTAATAGTTTTAAAGAGCCAGCTTAGGGTAGTGCTTAGGGGAAGGTGTTGGAAAAAGAGACCCTTACATGAGGCAGATTATTTACTTATCTGACTTCTATCCTGCCTTTCATTGAGGTGGTCCCCATCCCATGGCACTCTCTCCTCCAATTTTCAAAAATGACAATTCTGTGAGGTACGGTAGGTTAGGATAAGGAAACTGGATCAAAATCACCAATAAAAATTTCACAGCTGAGGGGCCTTCAACCTGAGGTGGGATACTGGTCAATTAATGGGATGGCTGATCAGGAGAGAAGCAAACAACACATAAATTGGTTTCTCATATGAACTGATTGATGGTGGCCTACTTTTTTTTTCTGGGCCTCCACTGCAACTATTATACCACATTATATAAGATGTCATAATAATTACCCACTTTTGCAGCCATTCAAGTGATGAGGGGAATATCAACAAGTAACATAATCTATGTATTACATACAGTACATTGACTAGACTTACCAAACCGTTTTGCAAAGCAACAACAGGTATAGTCGGGCTTTGTGGCTGAGGGGCTCTTACTGTCTCACTTGATCTGTGCGCAAAGAGAAAAAAGCCAGCTGCCAAATGCGTAAAGTTGGCAGATCCTAAAATTGCCAATGCAAATATTCCCAAGAGGGTCTTGTGCCCCCATAGGAGAAATGTGAATTGCCGAACTGGGATCCAGTTTTATAACATCTTTAGCACCAGCAGGATTATCAGAGGATAATTTAATGATGTTTAAATAACATCATTCTGAGGGCTAGAAAACACTTGCAGTGCTACTTGATTCTTTTTCTTCAGAGACTAATATACCCAAGCAAATAAATTGTTTTCCTGCTTTTCTTTGTGATCTACAGGCATCACATATTCACATAGTCCTGCACTGATATGTACTTTCCCCAGCTCAAAGTCTATTTGGCAAGAATAGACTGTTGATCTTCAAAAGAATTGAGTTGGGATGTTCACAAAGAATGCTCACTTGGTGTGATATCTCCCAAGAATTATGGCTCCCATCCATTTATACCTTCCAACAAAGCTTGGCAATCCTCATTTTTCCTCTCACTTCCCAATACTTTTTCACCAGAATGCTATTGCATAATCTAGCTGACACTGAGAACTATAACTTCTTGTATATTTTCCAAATTCTTCATTTTGGTATTTTTCTACATGTTACATAAGGTGAAAGCTATCTGAGCAAGCCTTCTTTTTTGGTTTACTTTGAGTAAGTCTCACATATTCCAGTTTTTGTATATGTCCAAATGGACCAATGCATCATAAAGAGATATCATGATCACTACAGCAGAGTACAAACTGATATGCATTATATGCTACTGATAGGATAGCAATAGGACTTGTATACTGCTTTACAGTGCATTACAGCCCTCTCTAAGCAGTTTACAGAGTCAGCCTATTGCCCCCAACAATTTGGGTCCTCATTTTATCCACCTCCGATGGATGGAAAGCTGAGTCAACCATAAGCCTGGTGAGATTTGAACTGCCAAATTGTAGGCAGCCAGTAGTCAGCAGAAGTAGCCTGTAATACTGCACTCTAACTACTGCGCCACGGCAGCTCAACATTCTGATACATGGTTATACTTGCTTAACTTGTGTTAACTGTAGTACTGGAATAAATGACAACCTGTCCTCCATGTTCTAAAAAAGTATCTGGAAGATAGCATGCTGTTTGCTCAACTCATAGACAGAGAAGTGTCAGGTATCATAAGTCAAAACAGCACTTATGGAAAGCTGTCACTACAAACCGAAAAAGACAAGAAAGCATCCAGATTCAGGTGATGACTGTACCTGCTGGAGGTTGGTTGGCTGACATGAGACCTCATGGCTGGGCCACTACATGTAGTGTTTACAGGTTCTTTGGCAGATTTTGGAGCCCTGGCTATGGCAGCATTCCTGGAACCAGAAACAAAGCTTTAGTTATCAGCATCAGCCCATCATTGCCTCACACGACCTATTTGCCTTTCCTTGAAATGAATCAAAATCCATTTTACAACCCTTTTTGGCAGCTATGTTAGTCTCACTCTTGTATAACTAATCTGACTTTCAAGCTAAATTCAAACTGTTGGGTCTATGGAGATTCTCTGTCATCCAGGTTATGGTTATCCCAAAGATGTTTTTTTTTTCCAAGGGGCAACAAGCTTCTTCAGCTCTAACAGCTTCTTGAGAGGGAAGTGAAACATATTCAAAAGAAAAGCCAGGAAATCCAGTTGCCTCTTGGTCAAACTGTAGGGATAATTAGCCCAGGAAACAATGTTACTGAGATTTTAGAAGGATCTGAGGAAGACCAGCTGTTGTCTGGCAAGCTCAATTACTTTTATAGAAATATCAAGAAATGGTGGAAAGTAACACAGATGGGTTGGTACCATTATTATACAATTGTAACTAGTAAAATTCTCTGTCCTGCCTTTACCCTGCTTTGGAGAGTGAACGCCCAGTCCCATTACAGTCATGGTCCAGGGGATGCCGGTGTTTGAGGCAGAAGTTGCCATGACATTGGTCACAGAGCACCTTCATCATTTCCCGTTGTTTGCAGCCAGGGCGCTGACACTTGTTGGTGAAAATCTAGGAAAAGTTGAGATTAATCAGAGTTGAGTGTAGAATTGAATTGCAAGTAGAGGATCAACAAAGTCTGCCTACTTTCTTATTTATAAAGCCTTCAACCTCTAAACGGTGAAGAAATAATCCCTGAATTAAGATTTCTCCAAACTGCATAGTCTGATTTGGATTTTACAGTAAGTATGCATATCCTCCCTTTCTTATTTTGCTACTGTAGGCTTTCAAATTCCTTCCAGTGAAATTGGAGTCCCTATAAACAGTTTAATCTGTGCATACTAATATTTTTTTTAAAAAAAATAATTTTACTACAATATTTTTTTTAAAGAAATTAAAAATGAATACAAACTAATATAAAGAAAGAACAAAGAAAAAGCAAGCAAGCAAGCAAGGAAAAAGCGAAAGTGCAAGAAAGGAAAAAAAGAATAACAAAAAAGAAAAAGATTCAAAGTAGCAGCTTCCAATCTTCTTTAGAGCAATTATAAGTACAATATTTATCTAAAGGTACAACAAAATTCTCATTTCTATAATCTTTTCTGTCTAATTATCAAAACCATAAATTAAATGTTCGTCTTTTTCTGTTTTCTGCAAGTCCATAAAGGGTTAAATTAAGTTCTTAACTTACAATTTCCTTTTGAATCTTTATTCCAATTGTATTGTTTTACAAGCCAATTTTTAGAACGTATGTGTATATATGTGTGTGTGTGTGTGTGTATATATGTGTGTTTGTGTGTATGTGTATATATGTGTGTGTGTGTATACACACAGACACGTTCTAAAATATATATATATATGTAGTATTTGTGCTGATATATATATATATATATAATGAATGAGAGAGAGAAATGAAACTGAATGTATATAGGATTCTGGCAGCTCCCTTCCACATACAACGGAAAGTGCTTTAGGCCTTTACCTTTCTCTTACGCTGTGCTGGGTCTGATTTGCAGTCTTGATCTATATGGGCTCCCACCACAATATCAGGCATTTCTCCTCGCTTCACAGGGATGGGTGTACTGCACAATGGACAAACAGGAACTTGTATATCCTAGGAATATGATAGAAAGTGGTGACATGTATCCTTGATTCCTGCATCATACAGACTTGTGGATATTTCAAATACTACTTCCATTACCTTCAAGATCATATAACTCTTTGTTTGATTATGAAAGCTGAAATAATAAAAAAGTTATCAGGTCACTTGTTCAGAAACAAAGCAGATGCATTTATTTTATTTCATATACAGCTCCAATTACAATAGATTCTGAGCGATGAGCAGCAAAAATACCCCAACATTATACTATAATAAGTCTCCATCAAGTTCATCTGAATCACAATGTTGCAGCATATAGCCACGATCTAACAAAACCTGTTCACAGTTCTAACCAACCCCTTCCAAGCAGGATAATCTTTGTATCCTTCTCTGTTTTTCAGTTTACCCTTTCCAAGATATTTAGCATTTAGGAGCTACTGGACATGCTCAATTTTTATTATTGTTTTAAAAGTCTGTCTTTTAGTTGTTAGCAATCATTTATTTGGTTTCTACAAATTTAGGATTCCTTAATTAACTTTTTGTTTTTTCTGTAGCTCTGGTTTGCCTCCAATAATGTTAAGGCTCTCTTAGTTTGTTATTAAAGGGAGTGAAATTGCATTAACATTTTTCTATAAAAATTTAACCCAATGGAGCAATTCCTGGAAATTTGACCAACAATGCATTCCAGTTATAACACAACTGCTAACAAACTATTTTTGCAGGCCATGTTTATAAAAACAATTTCTATAGAGATACAAGGATTAAAAGACCTATAGCATTTATTTGAAATGTACCACAAAATGAAGAACTAACACAGATGAAAAGGTTTTGCACAGAGGCCAGCTATTTTCTTATTTTAAGTTTCCTTATGTGGACATTCAATTTCACAAAATGGGTGGTTTAGAGTCAATGAGCTGAAAGAGCCATTTTAGCTACTGAGTACAACATCATTGTTCATGACAGGAATCTAAATTAAAGCACCCTCTGCAGATGACTACCTAGCCTCTGTTTTTTTTCCAGCAAGAGGAACCAACCACCTCTCTGGGTAACTGTTCTTATAAGTTTTCTCCCCCCACCCCAATTCAATTACAATCTACTTTCATATTTTAGAATCTGGGATCCCAAGAGACAGGAAAACTTTCTGTATGATATATCATTCCTTCTCCGAATTATTTTTCAAATGTGTTGTCTAGAACTGAATAACATAAGAGTATGTCTGATTAATGCAGAATGTTGTAGACCATGGGTGTCAAACTCATGTTGTCACAGAGGTGTCACATGATATATTGGGACTTTTCCCCCTTCACTAAACTGGGTGTGTGTGTGGCCAGCGTGTGACACATTCGGCCCTCAGGCTGGGAGTTTGACAGCCCTGTTGTAGACTTTTTTATTTCCTTATTTCTGAAGCTATATTATGCTGACCAAGTCTAAAATTGCATTTGGCCTTTTTAGCCTTCACACTAGAGCAGACCTGTCAAACTGGCGGCCTATGGGCCAGATGTGTGACACACAGGCCACACCCACCCGGCTCTGCAAAGGCAAAAAATGTCACGATATACCACATGACGTGATCAAGTTTGACACCCGTGCACTATAATGATGGTTTGTTCATTTTGTAGTCACATATTATTCCAAGACCCCTTTCATAAGGACTATTGTTAACCAAGATAACCATCCTACAGCTGTGCATTTAACTTCTATAAGCATCCTATCTCATCTCCTCATTCAGGTCATTGATAAAAACATTCAGAATGCATGATTCAACCTTGCAATACCACATTCAGTAATGTCATAGTGAGGAAATGTTCACAAACACACTTTTCTCAGTTCACTATCGTGCCATCCAACTTATACTTAGTTTCTTAATCATAAATGGGATGTGGTACTTGTCAAATACTTGGCTAAAATCAAGATACATTATCTATTTGGTAATGTCACATTCTATGACTGTAATGAAATTACCAGTCAAAAAAATCAGTTAACCTGGCTAAATTTGCTCTTAAAAAATCAATGCTGATATCGGGTAATAACAAGCCACAATTCAAATAGCACAACCTTCTTTATGCTGTTTGAACTGAGGTTGCAGAACAAACAGCTTCCATTGAGCAGAGGGGTTCTGCTCCTCTGTGCCTTATACAAGATAGAATCATTATATTCTATGAAATTAGGAATAATTTTAGTTACCTTCTTGTACGCTGAAGTGCAGTTATGATGGGCATAGGCAATATGGTCAGTGCAGAATAGCTGTTCACAAGCATCACATTTCAAGGGAAGGAAGTCTGAGGGCAGGAAATAACAAGCAATGAAAAGCTGTAAATGTTTTCCCTGCAACTTTTCAAATGACATTCTAGGCATTTTACTGGCTTTCATGGTAGTAATATTGTCAGACTTTATTTTAAAAGGTACATGTCTTTTAAACAGTCAAAGAGATTTGAACACAAAGAAGATACCATGGTAACTAATTTTGTAAACTGATTAGATGGAATGTCTTGGATAAAAATATAAGAGAACCTGAAAAAAAAACACCCTCAAGACTTTGTTTCTTAATCTCCCACCTAAAAAACAGTCTCATAAAAACAGTCTCATCAAATACTCCAGGCTATTTTGTAATATGCAGCAAAAACTAATGACTCATTCATATTTGTTCATACTGTCATGTCTTAAAACAGAACCGGATTAAAAAAAATAGAATGCAATTAACCCTGGTTTGTTAGGAAACATGAGACAGATCATGTCAACAGTACAAAATTGTGACACAAGTATAATCCCCTTGAAATGTTTCAGGAACCAATATTTTTTGAATTCTATAAATTGAAAGGAAATTTTACTTCAGATATGGAGCAAGAGTCCTCCATCTTTACAATTTTCAATTATGACCTTACTTACTTACTTCCTAGTAAATAGCCCACAATTTCACTCCAAGGGGTTCACATTTCATATAAAGCAGAATCCTAAACATCCAAGTCCTTGGACACAACCTTTTACCAGAAGTTTACTGAATGTTCTAACATTCTATGTTAGAGTTAGGCATAAGAGGTATGCTGGCACTCTGTATGGAATCTCTCCAATTTGAAGTATGCAACAATTTCTAATGTCTATGTTACACATTCTCAATGTAGAGTGCTCTCCAATGATGGCCAGCCTTATTTTATTGTTGGGAATAAAATGGATATAGCAACTTGGTTCACAAGAGAGAATGCATATCTAATTAAAACAGAAAACAAAGGCTGCTGGTCTGATTTCTTCTGGGAATAAAGCTATTATCTTCACATTAAACATCAAAGCATCTGGGGACTCAAAGCTTTTAGCTAAACAATTGCCAAGAGTGCATCTCCATAGAGAAGGCCCTGCTGACCTCTTTGTTTATGAAATAATTTCAAGTGTCATCACTCCGACATCATTAATGTGGCAGCTGTTGTAATATGTTTTACTTCCATACAAACATATAACTGAAGCTACAAAGTACCATACTCAGAGCAATTGTATTGACATGTTTTTCAACCGTAGCAAAACAATGAATTCAGCAGGCCCCTTCCCAAAAGAATCCCATTCACAATCCACTCATAAGGTCAGAATAGAGCTGGAAGGGACCTTGGAGGTCTTTTAGTTCAACCCCCTGCTCAAGCAGGAGACCCTATGATTTCAGACAAGTGGCTGTCCGGGCTCTTCTTAAAAACCTACAGCCGTGATGGCGAACCTATGGCATGCGTGCCATCGGTGGCATGCAGAGTCCTTTCTGTGGTCACACGGCCCGTCCAGCTGCTTTTCTGGTGTGCACATGCGCGCCAACCAGCTGGTCTTCATGGGTGCTGGAGAGCCGGAAACCGTTTTCCGGGCCTTTTCCAGGCCATTTTCCGGATTGTTTATAGGCGGTTTTTCAGGATGTTTACAGCCCATTTTCGGGCCATTTTTAAGCCCAAAAAGTTCCGAAAAATGGCCTGAAAATGGCCCACAAAAGGCTTAAAAACAGGCATGTGCGCGCCAGCCAGCTGGTTTCCAGTGCTCCAACATGCGCACATGCACACGTGTTCCGGTTTGGGCAAAAATGTTCGCCATCACTGACTTATAGTGACGAGGCACCCAAAACTTCTGAAGGCAAGGTATTCCACTGGTTCATTGTCCTCACTGTTAGGAAGTTTCTCCTTAATTCCAGGTTGCATCTCTCCTTGATTTAGTTTTCATTGTTTCTTGCCTTGCCCTGTGGTGCTTTGGAAAATAAGTTGACCCCTTTTTGTGGCAGCCCCTCAAACACTGGAACACTGCCATCCCTTAATCATCCTTCTGAATCTCAGGAAGTATCTTCTAATACAGTTACTAAAAGTTTATGAGTTTATGAGTTTTATTAGTATTTGTAGGCCGCCCTTTTCCCTGAGGGGACTCAGGGCGGCTCACACAAAACCGGGAAGGGGGAATACAGACATTAAGATACAAACATATAATAAAATAGTAGGCAACATACATTCATCATTCGGGAGGGGTAGCTATCCTTATCCCCAGGCCTGACGGGCGAGCCAGTTCTTCAAGGCTATGCGGAAGGCTTGGACGGTGGAGAGGGTACGAATCTCCACGGGGAGCTCGTTCCAAGGGGTCGGGGCTACTGCTGAGAAGGCCCTCCTCCTTGTAGTTGCCAGCCGACACTGGCTGGCCGATGGAATGCGGAGGAGGCCTAATCTATGGGATCTTATTGGTCGCAGGGATGTAATTGGCAGAAGGCGGTCTCTCAAGTATCCAGATCCACTGCCATGTAGGGCTTTATGGGTGACTAATAGCACCTTGAAGCGCATCCGGAGATCGACAGGTAGCCAGCGCAGCTCGTGGAGGATAGGTGTTATGCGGGTGAATCGAGGTGCACCCGCAATCACTCGCGCGGCTGCGTTCTGCAAGAAAATGTGATCTGTACAAATTGCACTAGTCTCAAGACTTCTAGAAAAAAATCCAGCTTTCCACGAAGCAGGCTACAATCTCGATTATAAGCCACAGCTATTTCCATTTGCTTGGGGGAAAGAGTGGAAGATTCTCCACCCCATCCCCGCTTGCCAGGTTCCCCGTCCTTACTACGCATGGCTGGAAAGAGTCCCGATCCTCACTCCGATCCCACTACCTCTCTCTTTCCTGCCTTCCCAAACTCTAGTCAAGGGAACGAAAGGAAGGGGGGGGGGTCGGGCGGGAGACACCTTCCCCCCCACACCCCATAGAGCTAAAAGCAAATCCTCACCCAGGCGCTTGCAGGAGGGCTCCGTGCAGTGGGCTCCTAGATCTGGGAACTCCATGAAGCTGCCTACAGGGTCGATTCCAGGAATGGCGGGGGAAGAAGGACGGTTACCTGGTGGGAAGAAGAGACTTACAACTCAGGGGCTCCGAGAGCGGAAGAAATGCACTGCAAAGGGCGGACGGCTATGGCCCAGCGGGGATCAATGCAAAAGATGCAGCCGAGAAACAGCGAGAGGGGAGGGGAGAGAACGGCAATAGTACCCAGAAGAGAAGGAAGGGGAAGAAGGGGGAATGGCGCTCGCTTCAAGCGGCAGAGAGGAAGAAAAACAGGGGGGAGAGAGAGAAAGTAGCCAATCATCCTCACCCTCTCTTCGCTGTGTACCACAAGGAAACCTTCGCGCCTTTGGCCCCGCCCACTTCCGTTCCCAGATGCCGCGATGATGTCATGCCATATCAGGACCCTTCCTCGACGAGAACCTTAATCCCTACTACCCGGTGAAATTTGGGATTGCCGTATTCCGGCGGCATGCCGGGAAATGTAGTACGGATGTGAGGGGAGCGAGGTTGAAGCCGCCGAAGGCTTCCCTCGGCCTCTAAGGGCGCGCTGGTAGAAACGAACGCAGGCGAGACGGAAGGGCGCGGGGTGCGATGGTAGTTGTAGTCATTAGCGGCACAGTTTTCTTTTTTCTTTTTCCTTTTTAACGCGAGGAACTAACCGAGAATTCCGTCCGAGGTCGGGATTGCCCTTTAGGCAAAGAGGCCGAACGCTAGGAACAGCCATTGGCGGCATTCTAGCCCCGCCTTAGCCGGAAGTGTCTCTATGGTAACAGCAGGCGGATCGGGTTGGGCCGGAGGGGTTAAGCCAGCGCCTGCCCCGGAGCCGGTAAGTGTGTGCGGGCCCTGTAACCGCAGCCCTGGGTGGTGGATCCACTTTTCCTCCTTCCGCGGGATATTGAATTCCCGGAGCGCTCTTGGCCTGGAGGAGGCCGAAGCGCCCGGCTTTTAATTCCAGTGGAACTGAGACCGTCTGAAACGACTAGTCTGAGCTTTCTTGGACGATGCTCCCCTTTGGGCGGATTTTATTGAATGTATTAAAAATATTTATGGGGGGAGGGAGGGCCTCGGTGCTCTCCGAGCTCGGTTGTTTTCTTGCAGATCTTTCATTAACCCAAACTGGGTAACATCATCAGCACCAACTCTGACGGCCTCACCTAGTTTGGGTAATGAAAGGTCTGCAAGGCAACAACCGGAGCACGAAGGAACACCCCCCCCCCATTTCAACCTGAGCTAGAAATATTCTCCTTTATTGGTACATTTATATAGATTTATATAGAACCCGGGCTTATCTTCCTATAGATCAGCCCTTTGGTTTCTTCCCATGTGCTCCTTCCCTCATGTCTTGAGGGAAATTACAGTTCTGCGTTTCAGGGTTATGCAGTAACCCTGAAACGCAGAGGTCTCTCTTCCAATTTATATTGAACAGGTTAAGTTCAGGATCGACAAATCAGCTGGGGATCGTCTGCTATTTGCCCTCAAAAGTGTTAAAAATAAATCCCCTCCCCCCACCCTTTTGGATAGTTATTTTGCCATCCTTTGCATCAGCAGTATGTGATTACCATTTGCAAAAGATTAATCCTTTTGTTGAAAGGCAAACTAAACGTGGGTAGGCACACTGAACTAGTTCATACAATAAGTGTGAGAAAGGGATAGGTGGAATGATTGTACAAGCAAGCGTTCATGGGACCTTTTATTCTATCATTTCAATAGGTGATATTATCAACTTTAGAGGCATCTTCCTGTCCATGGGGAGGAATCTTCTTGTAATTATTTCAAGTCTTCATCATTTGTCATAAGGGGCATCACTACTGATGTTCTCTTTTAGACATAGTGAAATAAAGCTGCAGAAATGAATGACTTGCCTAAATCCATCCATACTTCAAGGTTGAATTGTCTATATTTTCTTGGTCATTACTTTGTTCTTAATAATCTTTTTGTCATTGATGCAGACATTATTTTTATTTGTTAATAGCTTGACATAGCTCTCTATATTAGGCACCTGTGGAAAATGTAGGTGCCTAATAAGAATTGAGAAAGTTAATGCAATTCTAAGGTATATTAACAGAACCATAATATCAAAATATAGTATTATTCCCCTCTATTTTTAGAAATCATACTGTGTCTGGCATAATTAGTCCAGTTATGGACATCATATTTAAAGAATGTCAAAATAGAGAATGTTTATAGAAAATGATCAGGATGCTTAGGATCTGGAAACTAAGCCTTATTGAAAAACCATTGAAGGAGAGATTCTGCTTATCTTGGAAATAATAGCATCCTCATATTACCTCCCATATTCTGAGACATGTTTCAAATCTGGAGCAGGTTAATGGTGAGTGCAGAATTAAAGAGGATTTGGCAAAATCCACTTTCCCTAACTTCCACTAAAGAAAATCTCCACTTAATCAAAAGTCTCCACAGTCAAAGTGGATTCACTATGTAGTACTTTGAGGAGAAAAATAAGAACTGGTTTGATTAGGTATCAAGTTCAAATTTTATTTCTTATTTGATAATTATCTGAGAAGTCACAATATTAAGGCAACCCTGCCTTTCTGATTCAGTTCTGTGCAGTTGGTCTTTAGTGGCATATTCCTGAGCTTAGAAACTTCAACCTTGGAAAAGTGCAACATGTTTTTCAATTGATTTATAGTATTGAGATAAGTCTTTCCTGCCAACTGATTCTAAAGCAGCACATTACGGTAATAGCTAAAAGCAATCAATGGCAGATAGCCTCTCTGAGGAAAAGATTTCATAGCTGGGAGTGTCTTTTGAAAATATATGCTCCCAGGTATTCACTTAGTGCATCTCCAGCAATTATAGTAAATGTTACTGCTTAAGGCCACCAGTGCAGCACATGTTATTAAAAAGTTACCATCCAGGCAGAAGTTTACAGAAATAATAAAAAAGATATGAATCTTGGTGTTTACAGATGCCCTTCATTTTGCTTGAGTCTAGAAGAAAATTCATTCATCTGTTAATTCATAGTGTAAACTCTTTTTAACTCACTCTTTTGAGTTCTAGATGTCAAGATGAGTTAGAACATGTTAAATGTTTACAACTTTTCACCAGGAAGCAATTTGGTTTTTACATATATGGTTTGTACATTAATGAAAACCATAGCATGAAATCAAAATGTCTGATTTTTTAAATAGACTTTAAGAAGGTCAGAAACTGCTACTTTAACATTTTCCAAACTAACAAGTTTTTGCTGTCTTATCATTATCTACTTCATAGGAATATTCAAACTATAATCGTTAATGTTTTCTCTATTTTCTGTAGTAGAATCTCAGTCTTATCAAGCAATTGAAGATTAATTCTTAATACATTGGCACTGTATTGTGTATAGTGAGATTTTAGAGGTCGTTTGGTGTTGTGGTTACAGTGCTAGCCTAGAGACTTGAGGACTATAAGTTTTAGTCCTGCCTTAAGTACAAATTCAGTTGGGTGATCTTGGACCAGTCACTCTCTCTCAGTCCTAGGAAGAAGGCAAGGGCAAACGCCTTCCAAAAACCTTGCTAGGAAAATTGGAGGGGTTGTTCCTGGCCCTTGCCAAGAGTCAAAACAGACTCTAAGGTACCAAAATAAAAAAAAAGTTGTTACTTTTAGTTCATACTAAAAAGCATTCCACCATTTAACAGCATGCAATTTAGCAGCAAAATTTATTTTTCTGGCAACGTTTCTAAAAGTTATTGAACTCACATATTGTCTAAAGCCACAATTTGGCTTGCTTGGTTTTGGTTTAATTGTGGTATGTATTCAACCATTTTATAAGTAGTCCTCAACTTACAACCGATTGTTCATTTAGCAATTGTTCAAAGTTACAGTGGCACTGAAAAAAGTGACTTATGGCCAATGTGTGAGGACTCACACTTATGATTGTCATTGCATTCCCACAGTCATGTGATCAAACTTTGGGCACTTGGCAACCAGTATATATTTATGACGGTTGCAGTGCCTCCAGGCCATGTGATCACCATTTGTGACTTCCACAAGCAGAATCAATCATGGAAGCTGGATTTGCTTAAAGACTGGCTGATTCACTTAACAACTGCAGTTATTCACTTAACAACCATCGCAAAAATGTTGTAAAATCTGGCACAACTCACTTAAGAACTGCCTTGCATAGCAATGGAATGATGGGAATAGAAGTAATCAATTATTTTTAGTTTATATTTTTAAGCATAAAAAATCTACTAGTTTTGGGTTTTAAAGAGCTACTACTTCCACATTATACTAGTTTAAATATGAAGTATCTTTAAGTCCAATAATCATTTCTGATTATTATAATTTCCTTGATGACATTCTCACTGGGTAGTTTTGACTGAGAATAATAGATGACAAATCAGTTTTTATTTCCATACTAAATTAGCCCAAATCTACTTTGTGGACTGCATGGTCTCCTAAACCTGAAATTACTGGGGGGAGGGGGGTGTGTTGTTTGTCAGAAAAGGAGAACATTTCATATTATATTGTCTTGCTTCAAAAAGAGGCTGGTTAATTTATTTTCAAAGCTTAGATAAAAGATATGTAAGGGATAGGACTATCCCCTTTAAAATGGTTTTATTACAGTTATTAATGGATTAGCATTATTTCTAAAGGAACAGGATATTGATAGGATTTTATACCATAAATGCAAAAACTATTTAGTTTTTTTGAATGGATATCTTACCAAATTGTGAATAGATAAAAAGATAGACTGAGGAAATTATATACTTGGTGAAGTAGCATTTGAAATCTTACTTAGCACAATGTGTATTTATTTGGAGTAACATCTTTGGACCTCTAAATAAAGATTAATTGACTTATTCATTTCAATTAAATCTTTGGTGTTATTGTGGTGTTAATTTTGAGGTGTAGTTCAGCCCTCCATAAAGTTTGCTTTTGAGATGTGGAAGTTTGCTTTTTAATATGAACATACATATTAAAAATTGTAGTTGTCACTTCTCTACGATACAGTTACGGAAAGTAATGGTAAACAACTTTTAGGTCAGTGCTGTTTGAAATATTTGCTGAAACTATCAGATTTACATTAACCTCAGTGTAATACAGACAGTTCTTGACTTATGGCTACAGTTGGGAGCAGAAATTTGATCACTAAATGATGCATTCATTAAGAGAATGTTCACATGTTTGGACTTGATTTTTAGCCATGTTTACTGCAGTTGTTAACCCATTGATTTTTTTTGTCAGAAGCCATCTAGGAAGATCAGCAATTGTCACGTGACTCAAGTGGTTGCAACCATCATAATTGCAAGCTGGTTGCCATGTACCCAAACTGTAATTCTATGATTGCACAGGTAGTGTGACGATTGCAACTTTGAGGAACTTTGAACTGTTGTTAAACAAATGGTTATAAGTTGAGGACTATTTTCCTTTTAGCTTTTCCTTAAAAAAACATAGATAGACATGCCAAAATGATAGATAAATTTATATGTTATATTCTATCATAGAGATAGCAGGGCCAGCATGTGGTATTGTAAAGAATGGGGTTTTGGTAGTGATGGAATTGTTTTAGTGAAGGATCTTAACAAAGATAGAAGAACTTGGTAAGTAGAGGTATCCTCAGATTTTGTGAATCCCAAATTAAAGCAGCCTGATTTGGATGAATTTGAAACCAAGAGCAACTGAATTGAAATAGCTACTCCTCTAAAGAAAACTGAAATTGAAAACAAAGTTTTGGAAAGGATTTGAACAGGAGGGCCTAGAGCAGTGGTAATGGCAATTATAAAGTTCAGTCACAATGCTTTGTCTATATATTGTATGTTGTAACAATATGTCTAAGTCAGCATTCAGTGCTGCTGATTCAGCATTCAGTTGCCTGTCATGTGAGCAGCACGTATTAAAAACAAGTGGTATTTGGAATCTAGCAGAATGTATCATTGAATACACTCCTTTAAAAAGCTGTTTATTCAAACTTTTTTACATGTGCTGCTATTTGGTACCGATCAAACAGAAGCTTTGTGTAAGGAGTCTACAACTCTAACTCTTACAACTACCTTCTGAAATATTTCAGGGATCATACTTGGGAAGGAACATCTCTGTTTTTGCTGTAATTTACACAAAAGGAAAATGGGGGAATGTGATAAAACTCTTCCAAACCTATTTAAAATTGAAATAATTAATATCTTCAGAAGATATTAATTTCTGAAGAGTTAATAATTTGATATTAAGAGTTACTAGCTGATATCTTTAAAAGAGTTAATTTAATACAATTATCTACCAGTATTTCTACCAAAGCATTTTAAAGGTGACCAGTAATTTCCTTTAAAAAAAAAATCAAAATGTAAAACTGACAACCTCCTGCCACCGATTACATATCATCCCCTTCTTGAGTTATTATATCTAAAAAAATTGTTCAGTTCATTTTTATTACATTCCAAGTTTGCAAAATAGAGCTGAGGAGTATTTTCAGCTTCCTACCTTTAATTTCCTGAAGAAGGTGATCTCCCTCTTATGGATAGTCCTTTTGTTCATATTCATAAATGATTAGACACAATGCCTGTTTTTAATCTACTGGCTACCTAATTATTATTTAACCCCCATCTTCTGTTTTGACATCCATTGCAAATCTACATTTTCAGTATGATGTGTATAAAATCGAAAACAAGCTTTCAGGTTTTTTTTAAAATAATAATTAAAGTTTACAAATGCAAAGATAAAAGATTAAGTAAAATATAAGAAGGAAAAAGGTGCTAAAAATAAAAGATGTATAAAAGATGATTCCTCCCTCTTCCAGACAATAAAAAATTCCCCCCATATCTTATCCTTAAATCAGTAACCAAATTGTAAAACTCATCATTCAGCCTTAATCAACAAAAGATTTATTAAGAGTTACTAGAAGTAATAACATATTTTAACTTTAATCAAATCTATTTTGTATTCCATATTCTCATTTTCACTAAGAAATAAATCAAAACAAGTCTTTCACCATTTCTAAATAAATTTTAAAGCTTCATCATTCTGTCCTGATTAAACAAAAATCTATTAATAGCTACCAGAAACCATAACATATATATTTTAACCTTGGTCAAATAAATCCACTTTGTGTTCCTTCCATTTATTTTTAAAAAGCTTAATCTTTAATTCCACCAAATGTCCCACCACTAGTTGATTTCTGATCATTTTCTCTTTGTCTCTTTTCAGGAACAGCTTCAGCAGTTTAACATTTCCCTTTTGTAATAAGGCTTTCCAAAGTATTCTTCTGATTTATTATTTGTATAGCCCCCTTAATTATTAAACTTCAGGTGATTTCATATGAAAATCCATTTTTTAAAATATCATTTTTCAGATCACTTTTATAAGTTTGTCATTTTTAAAATCTATTTTCAGACATTCCATATAGTATCTTTTCTCAAATTCTTCTTCTAGTCTGATTCCTGTAGTCTTATAATCATACTATTCTCAAGTATGAAAGCTTTTGGCTGATGGCTGAAAAACCTTGATTGGTTTGGAATAGGAGGTTTAGGGGACTTCTACTGGGTAATTTATTGAAGTATTCAGTGGCTCTTTTGAAGAGGTCAAGAGATGTAGCCCATTCCAGTATGCAACCAGTAGAGAACTTCTTATTCTAGAATGTTAGTTTTGACAGTTGTTTTGACATAAAAAGCAGTTTGCTTGGGATTGTTATTGAAGCCTTTTGTGAGATCAAAGGTTGCCCTTATCAACAAGAACTTAAAAGCTGAATTTTGATGGGGATAAGATTCCTAAAATGAGGCAATACAATATTTTGTGAAAAAGATTTGACTCCCAATAGCCTTACATACTTTATATGTTGAAGATTATATGTCTGTTGAAAAATTTATTTTCAAATAAATGAAAAAGCATGAGATGACTAATCAGTTTAAAGAAGATGCATTAGCCAACATACCACATTTTTCGGAGTATAAGAGGCACCAAGGTTTAGCACTCTGCAGACCTCCCAAAAACGGCCCGTTTTTCACAAAAATGGCATGCATAGCCTTTAGGAGGCTTATAGCGTGCTCCTGGGAGCTGGGGGGAAATTGAAAAAAAAACGGCCCATTTTTCGCTCATTTCTCCCCTTCTCAAACCCCAGGAGCACTCTGAAAGCCTCCTAAAGGCAATCCATGACCATTTTTGCAAAGGGGGCAAGGTTTCGGGAGGCAAAAAACTCTGTATTCAATGTATAAGACGCACCCAGATTTTCAACCTCTTTTTTGAGGGAAAAAGGTGCGTCTTGTACTCCAAAAAATACAGCAACAGTTTTCTGACCAATTAGCACCATTTTGATACTGCTTTGATTATCAAAATCTTAGCTAATAATTATCAGCACGTAGAGCCATGATGTCAAACCTGTGGTACCCCTCTTTGTGGGCACGCAAGCTGTCACCCAGGTTAGATCCACCGTGCACCAACCAACTGATTTTTGGGTCTCTNAAGTAACTGATTCAGCAGGATTCAACATAATAATAATAATATACAATACATTACCAAAAGCAGGTTTTCCAAGGTAGCAGTAAATACAAGCAAAAAACAAGCAGTTTCACTTTCAGTTCTCTGTTAAGCCAGGCTCCTTTCTGTCTCCTTGTTGCTTAGACAGCAAATTTCAGAGTGCAAATAGCCGTCATTGGCCGACTTAGTTGCTATGCTTATTCATTGGCTGACCTTGTTACCATGTGTCAGCTGAATACCATGGATACTGGTGGGCAGAGGCAGAATTTTTCTTCTTATTATTTTCCTCCCCCAAAACCAAGGTGTGTCTTATACTCCGGAACGTTTTATACTACGAAAAATATGGTACTATATGTAAACATGTTTCCTGCAACTGTGAAAACCATATTGTTCTGTGAAGATGGTTTGTTTTGCCTTCAATGAAAAAGCAAAGCACTGATGGAATGGTTATTGTTAGTGCATTAAAGTGTTGTCTGAAATTAGCTTGGAGATTATGTTTTTCTGTGATGTGGAATGATATATTCTGAAAATTTAGCAAGGGCTGTCTCAAAAGCTGTAGAAGAGAAGCCAACTTTCAGTTCTGTCAGTGATGGGTAAAGAATGAAGTATAGTGACAGTTCTAAGGCTTGTTCTTCTGGAATTGAGCTTCCTTGTAGCTCACCGTCTCTTCCTCTTTTCCAGATACATACATAAGCCTTACCTCATTGGTGGAAGTAAGTTTGACCTAAGGATTTATGTTTACGTGACCTCCTATGATCCCCTACGTGTTTACTTGTTCAAAGATGGACTTGTTCGTTTTGCCAGCTGCAAGTAAGTTCCTCAGGAATTGATTGCTTGTAAAAGGATTGCAAAAAACATAAGTAAGATGGCCAGGATTGCAATATGCTGGAACATGATCTGAAATTACATTTCTCAGTTCATTAATTGCAGATTAACATATAATCTTTAATTAAAATAGCCACCTGTTATTCAGAGCATGTGGCATTCTGTAGCCATATCTTGATTTAAGCCAAATATGGGAAGTTTGTGGTTCTCTATATATTGCTTAACTACTAATAAAGCCAGTTAGCATGAGCAATAGTAAGGGATGCTGATAGTTCTAGTTCAGGATGACCACCATTTCCCACAGTTCTTCATATAAACAATGAGCATTAAATACCCATTACAGATAGTCCTTGACTTAAGGCGATAATGGAGCCCACCCTTTATGGTCATGAGTTGTGACCGTTAAACAAGGAGCCCATTTGATCACCTTGCTTAATGACCTCCATCCCTGCTCTTCTTCTTTTTTAAATAAAACTTTTTTATTTTTAATTTTTAAAACAAACACAACACATCTTCTTTACATACTGTAGAAAGTGTATCAGTTAGTTACAAAAAGACTTTCGTGCATCTCTTCCACAGTCAACAAACATAATTCATATTAACTCAAGTATTTTAACTCAGATATTTANCCCTCTTTGTGGGCACGCAAGCTGTCACCCAGGTTAGATCCACCGTGCACCAACCAACTGATTTTTGGGTCTCTTCCGCGCATGCAGGAGATGTGGGCGCATGCAGGGGGAGCATGGGGGTGTGCGGGGGGCCCCTACGCTCCATTTTTGGTGCCATGAGGCGTCAGGAAGGACCTCTGGAGCCCAGGGGAGGCTGTTTTTGCCCTCTCAGAGGCTCAAGGAAAGCCTCCAGAGCCTGGGGAGAGCAAAAAGCCTCCCCCCCTCCCGCCATGGTGCAGGAGGCCAAGTAGGCTATGGGGGAGGCATGCACATGCATGCCGTGGCGGGGAGTGTCAAATGCGCATGTGCAAGGTGGCAAGCGCATTGCATTGTGGGTGTGGACACACACACACCTGGAATAGCACATGCTCGCACAATTTCGACACAGGAGAAAAAGGCTAGCCATCACTGACCTTGAGCCTTCTCATGCAGTATGGACATACTTTGGGAGATATATCTGATTTGTCAAATCATATACTTGTCAGGCATAGTGAGAGTGGATTGGAGGATTAAAATTGCTTGAAAGTTAAATTTTAAAATTTATATTTTTGCAAATGAACAAACACTGCACTCACATATGCTGTATCCAAGCTCTGTCATAATACTTTGTAAAGGAAATATTGACTGATTAACCAAGGGTACGACCTTTAGTCTTGACCAAAATGTTAAGCCATAACGTGAGTTAGTTTAGCATGTTATGTAAAGTCAAATTTATCTGTCATAGTTTAATATTACCTGTTAAGTGAGGTTTTTATGGCCTATTCAGATGACCAGAATTTTTTTTTAAATCTATCTTTGTTATGAGAATGGAGCTATAGTTAGAACCTAAATGTTGGAGCTGATGTAATCAACACAGAACTGATGTCATATTACTGAGTACCTTTCTTTGAAAAGTCATCAAAATAATAAGTTATAGATAAATCATGACTGGCAGAATATGAAAGCAGGAATCAAATACTTAGAAACAGGAAAACCGGTTGTTGTTGTTTTACCTCACAACCAATACTGAATATGTTGCAGCACACTGCCTTATAGAAATAAGCACACTTTGACTGTTTGTCCCAAAACCTTCCTGAAACGTCTATATTTCAGCAGGTTTTGTAAACTGGATTACCGGTTCATGGTTTTGTCATTCCTTAATCACTCTAATGATGAAAATGATGCCATCATTGATGTCTTCCTCTTGATCTGCTCAACATTTTCATATGTGCTGGTTTATTTTCAGGCTGGCCAAAGTAAAAATGCTGCTTTGACCGAATCCTGTTCAAAAGCTGTGATCATTGAAGGTGTGGGATGGCTCTACATGGCCTCAGCAGGGCCAGAAGCCTATAGCCTAAGCCTCAAAAAAAGAAACCAGTTCCAGGTGGGCATTTCACCAGGGCTGTCAGTGCCACCACTCACAACAAAGCTTCACAAGAGCAAGTCTTGGTACCTTGCTAGGCAGCAGGTGAAGCCTGTTTGGCAACTGGAACAAAATCATGTGACCACTTTGCAAGACAAATGTTCAGTCCACTCAGGGATCTCTTCCCAGCATCCCCCCCTCTTATATCCAGAGCCATTATGTAGTGAGGCAGTGCTCCTGAGCCCGCCTACAGCTCAGTCCCATTCTCTCCCAAACTTCCTTGGGAGCACCCTGCTTTATCGACGGTCTTACTTTAGACACAAGCCCTATCGGAGACTTGAGTCCATCTGCTTGCAGCCTAGTACCTTGGAGAAGAAACCGCTTCGTGCCCCACCTCCCATCTATCATTCTGTCCTCAATAAAACCATGTCGTCTTCCACGGTGGATCCATTTCTTATGCCAAGTACAGCTGGGGAGCGTTCCAATCCAGTGTCAAAGGGTTTTCTCCTCAATTCAGGGAAGCAAACCGCCAGTGCTTATAGACCAGTCCTAAACAATAACTCTTTCCTGAGGCCAGCTAGTGCAAAAGTGCCTTTGCAGCAGCAGCAGCAGCAACAGCAGCAGCAGCAGCAACCACTACCACCAGAAAGTAAGAAGCTGAAAGGATTGTCAAGATCTCCAGGATTTTCTTGGACCCATTCTGGGGGGAATGGGGATGGTTGTCCTGTGAATCTTGAAAAGAAGCTTGGAAAAAACAGCAGTTCCACTTTTGAGCAAACCTGTGCCAAATCTCCTCACTCACCTGTACACAACAGCATGGTTCTTAAATCAGAACGGTCACTGTGGCCCCTTGAGGATGGCGAGACTAGATCACAGAATCTGAAAGAACAAGATGCGCGGTTGACAGAAGCCATGAGGAAACTAACAGCAAGCGGTATCCGGAAAGTTAGTACTTATAGTGAGTTTGGTCACCGCATTGATAGCTCTTGCCTTATGAACGCCAGCTTCCATGCCAATCTGTTCAATCGGTGGAAACCACATATTGTAGCCCAGATCACCCCGAAGGAAGTGCCAGTTCCCAGCTCCCTGAATTTAGAATCTGGTAGCCGCCATCACAGCCTTATAAGCACAGAAGTTGCCGATGTCTGCACTAAGCGTATGGACACGCGTATCCTCACCTCAAATTCCGAAATGCCCAACCATAGTCTCTTGAATCAATTGGTCGCTCCCCCTGTGAATATCACAGAACAGGTGATGACAGCAGAGATATCCCCACGAATGGCAGTCTCTGAGGTAGAGACAAAAATTTCCACTCTTCAGCTAAACATGGAAGCAAAGTGGGGGCAGTCTACTACTCTGAAAGAGTCTGAGTAAGTATCATAGCCTCTTTGCTATATAGGTATTGCTATATAGTGATAGTGTTCTTTTTCAAGATTGTTATAAGCTGTCAATTATTTGTATTGGATGTTTCCCTTTACTGGGTGGAAACAGGTGCTGGATGGAAACAGGTTTATAACAGGGGTGTCAAACTCGGGGTTTCCGGGTCAGATGCATCATGCACTGGCCATGCTCATCCCCATTTTAGCAAAGAGGTGAAAAGTCGCAATACGTCACGTGACGATGCAAGTTGGACACCACGGTCTATAATATCCTATTTCTGTTGTTACATGTGTGTCTCACAACCCAGTCTAGTACTTCCTATTAGGTTGGGGCTACACATCCCATATTTCTAGGAATTTTAATGTCAGATCATCCTAGAGGGTTCCAGATTGCCGAATGGTATCCTAATTTAAACCCTGGTACAGTATATGGTTCTACTGTATTTTTTGGTGTATGTTTTGTTTTGAGGAATTTATATCAGTATAGAAAATGGCCAGATAGGTGAAACTGCATTTAATCCTAAAAATATAGTGATATGTTGCATACTTAATTCTACCATGTAAATAAATAGCAGGGAGGAGAAGGAAGTCTTTTGGGTGGGAAGGGGAATGCCCTAACTTTTTTTGTTCTTGTCTGGGAGCTCTTCAGGCCACTGAGATGGAATTTTTTTGTTTTCTTCATTAGTTGGATTACAGGAATAGTATAAACTACTCAAAAAGTTTCACTTGGTCAAAATAAATCTTTGTATTGTAGAGCTGTAGTCAATCTTCCCCTGCTAGATCAAGCAGAAGTAGAAGATGCGGAAGAAGAACTTCCGGATGGCTTGGAAGATATTTGCAGTCAGGATGAGGAAGGAGAAGAGGAAGATGGGGAAGGTCATTAATGTTTATTTATGTTCCTTCTTTAGAGTGCAATCATTTAATAATGTGATAAGCCAGAGAAATAAAAATGTTGATGTACTGATTATATCCAAGGAATACAGATTCTAATTACTAAAATTTCAGAACAACTCAGATCTAATAAAAAGTTAACATTATTATCATAGTAATAATCTTTACAGTTGGATATCACATACATATTAATCAATAATATAATAAGAGAGGCAGAAATAATAAAAGAACTTTTCTTTTAATAAAAGAACTGAAATACGTTATGGCCATAATTAAAACTAGCTTGAGTTTATCTTTAAAGTGTAGATAATTTGATCTACTTGTGAAGATTTCTTTCTTGCAATATTTAATTAGTTGTGCTCTAAAGAAAATAATGTGCTGGCTTGATTTGCATTTTAATGATATATTCTGATGCAGTACTGAGTAAACTATTTTCTTTTATTCAAGTTGTTTTTAGTCAACTGTATCAAAGCTGGCCAGTATAAATTAATGTTCTTCTTCATTTCAGGTGAATCAGATGGTTCCTCATCATCCAGCTTATCCGCCAGTGGTTCTGTTGCTCTCATATCTAGGTTAGTGCCAGACACGAATTGCGCTGCTTTCTGTCCATAATGTACTTAGTAAATGAAGAGTGTCTGAGTTCAACTTGATTTCATGAACTTATCCATGTACCCAAACTGTACTTAGATAAACCCAGATGATGGA